CAAGTACCAAAATGCTGCCTATTCCCTAGTGACTGGCTCCAACTCCCTCCTTTATATCTTACTTCAACCCTCTGAACTAGAGAGCCTTATCACACAGTAGCTGTGCATATAAATGTAACTAAGGCCCAATACTTAACTGGAATTCTAATTAAATAGGGCAGGGAACTTCCAGAAAATAAAACTGAATCTTTTGTGCTATCTCCCACTTGCTCCTCTCCTCCCCACAAACAAAATGCCTCTCCAAGACTCACATGACCTTGGGTGAAGGGATTTGGCAGGTGTCTCCTAAGTGCAATTTTCTTACTGACACAAGGGTGATAATATGCCCATTATCCCACAGGGTACATTTCCCTGCTGAGCTTTCTTTATGGAGTTAGCTTCATTAGGGATTGGACAACAGCATCGCTCAGCTGCCAAAAGCTCCATCGGAAGTCAGCTATAAAATTAAGTGTAGCCACATGCAGGGCCGTAATGAAGCCCCAGGGCACAGCAATGTTCCTGCTCACTTAAATCCCACAACCCCTTCCAGCACAATCCGGAAAAGAAAACCAAGGGGCATCAATATGACAGCTACTGCTGCTTTAAACAAAAAGCTGATCTCCTTTACCATAAAAAAGGAGATATCTCAACTGTAAGTTAATGAAGGGAGAGTAATGGTACCAGAAGCACCTACCATGTTCCTCTACCTCTTCACTACCCTTTAATTCCTAGCTACCTAGCTCCTTCCTCTTCATTGTGTGCCACCTTCTTCTCCTTTACTCTAGAGAAAGGAGTGGTCTAGCTCTTTCCTTTTCAGCTGTGTTAGAGGACAAACAGTCAACCAGCTTCTCATCTTCAAAGTTCTGCTACCTTCAAGCCCTGTTGGCTCCTATGAAAGGCACTGTAGAAGAGTTTCTATTGCACACCTGCTGTACACACATGGAAGTGTGAAAGTTGGAAGCTAGCACTCTAGATCTGGAGCTGATCCAGCTGAGGTATGGACAGAAGCACTTAGTGTTTGCTCTTATATTGCTGCAGACACTAACATAAGCAGTACAAGACTGCCCTCATTTAGACTGCTTCAAGAAGTAGTTCATCTTTTAAGACAAACGTCTCCCAGAGACAGCATCTCAAGATGCATATAGCATCTTCGTGGCAGTGGCACTTAAGTTATAACCACTTGAGGGCAATGCCAATATAAAAACCTAGGAGTGATAGGACCAGGCATTTAATAGGAAACAGTTTTTATTCTAGAAATTAAAGAGAGTATATTCTTCTTTTCAGCTTGCTGGCATTGTTGTGGAAGACAATTCTACTTTGATTCCAGTTCTCCATCCAGACTACAAGCATTGCTATTCATATAGTGATTGATAATGATAGTCAAGTGACTGCAGGAAGCAAAATTGTTTGGCAGGCTGCTTTACTTTTAAACTACTATTTTTTTATTTTTTATTTTTTTTAACATAATTCAATACAGCATTACAGACAAGAAACACCACAGTCTTTACACAACATGGAGTGGTTTGTTTTGGTGGGGGTTTTTTTGCATGTACAACACAAACCTATGCATGCCAGGTTCATTGAAAGATCCCAGAAAAGAACAAAACCAAAAACAACAAAAGGCTAAAATGTTTCTTTAAGTGATGCTTCTTTAAGATTGTGCCCCAGGTTGCCCCATCCCAAGCCCTGCACACTGAGCCATTATTCTGGCCCCTGCAATTAGATTCCAGTACTTTGCAGTTGGGCAGACTGACACACGTTGAATTCACTCTGGTTCCAAGTTCACTCCTTTTGATTTCCACATCAGACCAGGAAAACCTAATTTTGCAACAGTAGAAAGTTGGTTTGGTTGGGGTGTTTTCTTTGGTTTGTTTTTTTTTTTTTTTCTTTTTACAGGAGCAGTAAGATTGGATTCCTTTACTAAATAAGCGACAAAGTTCTTAAGTCACACCAATGTCATCCCTGCTTGGCCCGCAGGGATTTGACCTGATTGACAGAAGGTCTAGTTGCCCAGTGGGAAACAATTTATATATCCACAAACTTCCTGCTTGGTTAGAGATCCTGAGAGCCAAATTTGACCTTCAAACACCACCCTATCATAGCCCTGCACTCCCACTAAACTATCAACTTGGTGCAACATAATAATCTGCACTGCGAACACACTGAATTTTTAGAGTACAAAGATTTACTGAATAAATCTAAATTACACTGCAATAGCTAAGCTTTTAAAATTTACTAAAGAAAAAAATCTGTTTAACCTATATCTGCTCTGAAGTACTGCACTGCTTTCACAATCATAACAGACTACAATCAGGAAATATTAAGCTTACTGAAGATTCAGCTGTTGAAAATAGTGCTGTCATTTTTCCTCTAATTATATATGAAGAGGCAGACTTAACATTTAACTACTTCCTCAAGGAGTATACAATGAACAGCAAGTATTGCTACAGGTTTAGGGCTTCACTGTAATAATTCAGATAATTTCAGCATTTGTTTCAGGTGCAGTTACCTCAAGCCATTTCTTTAAGAGCAAAAAAGGAAAGTGTTAGGTGTTTGTATCCTCTGACTGGATTTACTCCCAGAGGGGTACACAGTCCTACAAGCTTATCAAATACACATTTGACAGACTTTAGAGTAGCTTACTGTTGATCTCTCAGAGAGGTTGCCTTGTCGTATGTATTCTATTGCAGCCTCAATTGAGGTTAGACAGTATCCCAATTCATCCTTCACCGAGCTGCAAAGTCTGAAGTTCTTTATGTAACTCAAGTTGGCCATCCTGAAATAAAAAGTTAAAGCCATGAATCACTAAGGAAAAAAAATAAACTAGCATGACAGATCTTAACACTACAATTCATCTTGGGCAATCCAAGAAGACAATAGAAATGGGCTAATAAAAAAATTCTAGAAAAAGACTGTTAGGCTAGCAATACTATGGCTGTTCTGAGCTTTGTAGATGGATCAGAACTCTACAGATCTCTAACTATTCATTGAAAAGTTATTAATCGAATATAAAAGATAGGAAGGACAGGATAAGGACAGCTGCAGGAGATTTGTTTCACACATTTCAAACATATTAGTGCTTCAAGTACCACAAGCACCAGTGTAAAGCAATAGCTACAAATTAAAGGAAAAATGCTAATCTCTGAGATATGGGTACACCAACACTAAAATCCAGTTCAAATACATGTGGAAGGCTTAGATATACTTAAAGTCACACACCTCACTCTTATACTATAGTGTAGTGTAAGACTGAGGAGAGAAACACAATGGCATAGGCTAAGAACAATCAACTAAGCATTCAAATCTATTTTTCTCTATATGAAATGTATCAAACATCCAGAAGCTGCATAAGGGTTTCACAGCTCTAAACACAGACAAGGAAGGACTAGTCTGTGAAGTCTGTATTGACATGCAGATTTGGTATAGAGATGGCCTCCCATTACAACTTTTTTCTAGGCTGGGATGCAAGACAGCAAAGACACAGCACTCGAATTCCTGACAGGTCCTTAATTCAGTCTCACTGTAATACATCTTTGCTGTTTGTCCCACTAAAAATAGTTTTCTGCATTACATCAGACTCTCTTACGCTTTCAGTAAGTTATTTACTTCATATTCAGAAACATTTATCCCTACAGCAGCATCACCTACAAGATCATATGATGGAGCTCTGTATAGCCAAAATAGTTACATACCAGTTAGGTATTTCTGTTTTTACAAGTAAATACAGCAAAACAGAGAGAAGATCATCTGCACACATGGTTTCCATGTTAACTGAAAAAAGAATTTACATCTGACGTTAGTCATGTCATGGTTCATAAAGAGCAATACCTGTAAATGGAGGTCCACCTCCTCAGATTACAGGCCAGCTCTACTAGTAAAGAATGCATCGAGTAACCAAGGCAGTCCTTTAACTGTTCTCAATCTCCCTCTAAAATAGGCTGCCAAGAGCCAACAAACAAATACAGTATGTACTGTGCAAATAGCAATATTGGATTAGCATCCCCTTCCTTCCTATACAAAAGGAGCCAGAGCATTAGCTCAATATTTCTGAAATCCTTGAAGGCAAAACCTATACTTTTCCATAACCCAGGAGTCTCCCTGGAAAAAGGAAGAGATGAAGTAGGG